CCGTGACCTTAAATTCTTAAGTCTTTTAATTAGTTTTTAGTATTTAACTTAATATTTCTTTTATTCTTCTTCTATTATTCTCTTCAATTTGTAAACTAAAGTAACTGTTTACAAGTTGCTAATTGTAAATTGTCTTTTGAAAAATAAAATTAATCCAAAAGGTTGACTAGTAACAATTTGATACCTTCTAGCAGAAACAAATCGAAATTTTTATAGTTATTCTATTTCTTATTTTAATAATCCCAATATAGTATTTTATAATTTATCTTCTTTTAGTTAGTTATCCTTCAATGCAAAGACCTTAATAAGTTAGTCATAATTTTAGATAATCATAATCTTACACTTTTTAGTATTAGTAATTTATTTCTATGATTAACACTGAGCAAATTCAGGAACTTAATAAAATCATCGAGGAAATCGCAAAACTTTATTGACAAAAGATAAAATATATAATCGATCAAACATCCGAATTAGAAGAACCTGTGTAGAAATTAGAAGACCTTTTAGAACTACACAAAATCAAAAACCAATACAATTTACTTTTTCGAATCCGAGATAACTGCTACCAAATTTTAAGTGACCTAAATCAATTAAAAGAAAATTTTTTCCTCTTAAATTAATACTCTATAAGTACCTTAAATAAATAAATAATTCGCAGTTTTGAGTAAGAGAATACCTCCCACTGAATCCCTTATTACTCACATTACAAAACGATTGGAGCAATTAGCTTCTAATATATCAGAAAATTTCTCGCAAACTATCTTTACACCACAACCACTTTCTATCGTGACATCACCACAAGACTCTACTATGCAGTTCCCAAAGGCTAACGAGCTTGATAATATTTCATCTCTAGCTACTGCAAAAACTAAACTAACAATTAAATCCTTTACAATTTCAAAACACACCTGACTGGAAACAAAACCCAAACCTTTTTCTACTGTTATAGAATTGTCAGAAGAAATAGATATTCAAGACACTACTATAAAAACTGAATCAAGTACTCTAAAAGAAAAACCAGGAGTATCATTAGCCAAAACAAATTTATTAGCTCCTTCCAAATCACACTAATCTTCTAGTCAACCTAACCCAGTAATATCTGAAGGATCTAGTTATAGTACTTGATCTGAAAAGACATCCAACTTGTAACAAAGGATAAGACAAAGAGAATACTTTGGTCAACCTAAATCAACTACTATATCTAGTTATTCAGACAATTCTTTTACTAAAGAACTACAATGGTTAAGAACTCGAAAACAATCAACATTCAAATCTAACCCTCTAAACAAAAGTATAAGCAAAAAGAGAAAGTTGACCCATTTGATAACAATGACACTTATTATAATACTTTTAACCTTGACAATAACAACAATTCTTCCATTTATTATCACGACAATTATAACTACAACCAAGACAACAATAACAACATGACTACCAATCAATATATATTAACCTATCTACAACGAAATTTAGGAGGTACTACAGTTCGAGTAGAACCTTTCTATGGTGATGAATTACAAGACCCCTTAAAGTAGATTGAGGATTTTGAAAAAGCCACTCGAATAAATGATTGGGATAATACTCAAAAAGTCACTATGCTAAAAGTCCATTTACAAGACGACGCAGAGGAATGGTATGAAATGGCAACTGCTATTACTTGGGCCGAATGGCTTCAAGTCTTTAAAGAATTCTTATGTACCTTCCGATGGATTAACAAGTGGTATCAAGAATTAGAGAAACTATGACAAAACAGTGACGAAACTATTGGCACTTACTATCAAAAAAATTAATAAAATAATCTTAATGCCAGTTGCCTGATCAAATACGTTATTTTGTGAAAGACTTATGAACTGAGCTTGTACCAATAATTATGATGAATGATCCTACTGATGTCGCAACTGTGGTAGACCTTATTCGGAAGTATGAAGCAGGTGAAGATGTAGTGAAACAAAAAGAACCTCAAAGATCTCGAAAAGAACCTGAGTCAGAATCTGAAGAAGAAAAACCTCGACGAAAAGAGACAAAAAGAAGAAGTCAATAGAAAAAGAAGACTTGGATGACTTAGTCCAAAAGTTTGAAAAACTTCAAATCAATTTGGCACAAAAAATTGACTTGTTAACAAAACAAGTAAACCAAAGAAGTAATAATAACTGAAACTTTCAACTCCAAAGCCAATCATATAATAACGATTGTCCTTTTAATAATAATAATCAAAATTATAATAATAATCCCTCCCAAAATTATCATCCACCTGTTTGCTACAATTGTGGACAAGAAGGACATATTTCACGCAACTGTTCTCAAAATAATAATTACAAGAATAATAATTACAATAACAATAATAATTATAACAATAGACGTAATAATAATAATAATAATAATAATAATGGACGAAATGCTGCTGTCCAATATGCTGAGGTAACTGATGATGAACTTGATAGTGAAGAGGAAAGGTTATTAAACCAACTCTTAGAAGTTTATTTGGAAAAATGTGAATAAGATAAGGACAGTACCGACAAGAAGACAAAGAAACCTCGAACAGGTAATTACTTTAAAATTCCTGAGATAAATACTTTTGGAATTCCATTTCGAAAGGAAGAATTCAAAACTGAAAATAAAACCAAACCTACCAAAAAGAATAATAAAAAGAAATTGTCACCTGAGAGAAAGAAATTTACTAAACCTGAAAAGAAGGAAGTACCTCAATTACTGCGTACAAAAGAATTTGACATTGCTGAACAAATGCAAAAACAGGAAGCTGGAATTATTTGATCTCAATTACTCTAACTTCCTGGAATGAAACAAACTCTTATGAAGAATTTAAAAGTATCTAGAAAAGTAGATGTAAAGACAGCTAACCAAGAATATCAAAAACGAGTCACCTCACTCAAATGTACCATTGATATTGATGGTTATACAGTACCTGCTATTGTTAATAGTAGTACTGCTGTAAGCATAATTATGCGAGACACGATGAAACAATTAGGATATTCCATAGATGAACCTTCAAACAGTGTGATTCTACCTGCTATTGGAGAAGGTACTCGATCTCTAGGAGTTATTAGAGATTTTCCAGTTACTGTCGCAGGATATACTATCCCTGTTGATGTCGAAGTAACTGAAACAACCACCTATACTCTCATTTTAAGAAATAATTAGTTGTTAAAAGCCAATGGAAATTATAATTGGCAAAGTTAGGAGTTAACTTTAAGATAGAGAAATCAATACTTGATTTTACTTGTCTCCTGCATACGAGAAAATTTAGCAGAAATACTCGAAACTACTAGTGGAGAGGAAAGTGAAACATCCGATGAAGAAATTGAAAGTGATAACCAGTATGAAAATGAATCTTCCAAAATTGAGGAAGATGATGAGGATGAAACTTTTGAAGACTATATTAAATATTCTGAAGAGGAAATGAATTTTTCTGAAGGAAATGAAAATAAAGAAAATGAAATTGAAAATGATACAGAAAGTGATAATTCAGATTCTATTGAGTCTAAAGATGAGGAAAGTAATTTAGAATTTGAATCTGAAAGTGATAGTGATAATGATAAGAATATTTTAGATGAAATCCCTGTAATGATGGGAGACTCATTAGTTAAAACTGAATTGAATGTTGGTACTTTAAGTACTAAACAACAAGAACAATTCAA